AGGCTCCATGCGTGTCCCATTGAACTCTTAATTTTCAGTCAGGGCGCCGCGATAGTTCAACTGCTTGAGCTGGCATCCTATGTTTAGGGGCTATAATCCCCAACGCAGAGGGTTCGAGTCCCGCTCATGGCCCTTCTGGTAGATTAACTGTAGCAATGGCTCCTTTCGGATATCAGTATCTGGAACTCCCAACTAGTCAGTCAGAGCTAATGAAGCCTCTTGGATGAGAGGTGGAACGTCTTCAAGGAACTCAAGCAAGTCCAGTTGCTACCATTAATCTACCCAGAACTACCATGATGACTTGGATGACTGAGTATCTTCACAAACATTCCTGCATGTCCTTTCCCCATTCTTCTCCCCCACCTTCCTGTCTATCTCTTGGCTTTCCTACTGAACAAAGGCTAAAACTTAAAAAGAATTTCAGTCAAACTATCTGATTAGTGGCTCTGTCAGGATTCATCACAGTGTTGCTAACGCTAGCATCCCAACACGCTCACGATGACATGGTGTGTTTATCATGTTAACCTTCTTAGTTCAGCACATCATTTCCTAATGAGCACACAGACGTTTAGGAGAGCCGAGGCTGACGGGGATGTTGTTACTCGTGCAGGTACTAAACAACTGAACAGAGGCGGTGCTGGAGGAGAAGCTCACCACGAGGAGAACATGAATGTGTTTTGTATCGCAGTGATGAAGGTGAGGGTCTCCTCCAATGCACTGGATTTCAGACTTGCTTCCTATTGGTGGCAGGAAGTATCAAGGGGGTCAACCTGCAGATTAATTAAGGCGTGCTCGCTATAATTTTTCAGATTCAGGTATTTCACTCAGGGGCTTAGATTACCTCAGACAGAGGTGTGTGTGTGTGTGTGTGTGTGTGTGTGTGTGTGTGTGTGTGTGTTGAAGGCCTGGGTGAGTGGAGAGGATGAGGAGGAGGAGGAGGAGTGGGAGGATAACAACCCTGCAAATTACAAGCTTCTTCAATTTTCCACATCAAGGCCTTTCTGCAGAGGGAATGTTGCAGAATTTGAGGCAAGCGCTGACATCCTTAAATTGACCTGACTCAGAAGTGCCCTTGAGAGTGAACTAATGTGAAAAGCAAAAACAAAGCTTTCTTTATAGTTTGCTTTCTGCGGGCCATAAACGTTTATTACGCTCGTCCTACTGTACATAAGCCTCTCCCTCCTCCTGTCCGCCTCACTTCACGCACGGTCTGGTGAAATGTCAGACACCAGCTGAGGTGCAGAGGAGGGAGATATCATTAGTCGTGTCTGTGAGACAGGAAGCATCAGCGTCATTACCAGTCATTAGTTCACAGACAGCAGGTCAGGTCGCCACCACCGCGCCGCCTCGCTCAATCACTCATACGTTCGGTATGATGGACTGACTCAGGACGACCGCCACGCCTACATCCTGCTGTTGTGTCCTGCTTCTCGTGTTTTTTCAGGGCCGGGGCCGTCGCGAGCCTATCTGTGATCTGGATGGAGACTACACACACATTAATTCATTTTGATTGCTTCAATTCCATCTAGACGAGCCCGTCTCCCTCCCATCTCGTGCTCAGAGCCTGAACGAGGCTTAACGCTAAACAAATTGACAATTATCATGCCAATCTTCGCCTCATTGGCTTCCAGCAGAGTTTAGAATAGAGTTTAAAATGCTCTTGATTATATTCAAAGCAGTGGGTTTAACCATTCCCTGTGTGTTCAGATAAAGGCACCGGCAGTCAGAAGTCAAGGATTCAAATTAAAATGTATTACACTTTCGCAATTACGGTCCACATTCTTTCGGATCCGCCGCCTGAGGACATTATTAGAGTGGCAGGCCATTTCTCATAACCTCTTTTAAAATCAATTTGTTTGCAATTGATATTTATTGCTGTCTAGTTTTATTAGATTTGTTTATTTAAAAAAAAACCCACACATTTGCATTCATTTTGTGATGAATTTGTCATCAAGAATACCAAACTTTTTGAGATGTTTAATAAATGAGTGTGTGAGCGTAGAGCAAGGTGAGGTTTAAAAGAATACAAATGTGTTATTTGGATATGCTCAGATAATACTCTGGAAAAAAAAAAAAACAGATATGAAATGCATCAGAATTTTCAGCCCCTCTCTCTCTGACCCGACTGACACAATTCACCACAAGCAATCTGAGCACACAGACATCACACAGACCCTGCCGCAATCACCGGAGTGCACTCTTTACTGTGGCTGTTAGAATAATATAAAGGCAGCCTTCAGTTTCTTCAGCATCAAACTAGGATGATTTTTTTTTTTTTTTCACCAGGCAGATGTGCCAGAGGTGTAAACAAAGAGGCTCCAGGCTAAAAAGACAAATAGTTTAAATATTCATTAATTTCATCAGCTTTCACCAGATTAATTGCGGAATGCAAGCATAATAAAGCTTCGCTAATGTTCCACAGGTGGCGTTTCGAGTTAGGGAATATCTCAGAAGTGCATGCAGATGATCAAAGGGAGCGTCTCAGATTTTTGCAAATAGCTTTCACGTTGCCTTCGCTGACACGTCAAACAAACTTTCATTCAGACCTCCTTCAGAAAGCACGTCTACAGTCTAAGCCGCTGTTTTTCTTTATTGATGCTGTAGATCTTTTACTATATAAACATTCTTTGAGTATAAATTTAGCACCGTAAGAGCCAATCTTCAGCTCAACCTGACCTCAGAATGCATTCTTCTACAATAAGAGCTCCACATATTTACACTATGGTAAAACCTGAGGCAGTATGATGAAGCGCTGAGGGTCTGGAGCTGAGCGTGGTGCACTTGGAGTTTCTTTCTGTTTGCCAAGAGCTAAAAAATGCTCAACTTTAGGGTAAAATGCTGCTCACTGTCACATTGTCCCCAGCTGTCCAATCACAGTGGAGGAAGGGCAGGACAAATACAGTGTTTTCAGACACATTCCTCTTATTATTTCTATTTCTACACATCAGTTCTGACCAGATGCAATGATTTCATACTGAGTCCCAGTTACCAGGTGAAGCAAATTCTGTCTTCAGGGTCTGACTAAAGAGTGGGACGTCCTGCCTACTGACACCATCAACCAGCTGGTGGACAGGATGCCACCATGTCTTAACGCATTGATCCGTGTCAGGGGTGGCCAGACTCAATATTAGTGACTGAGTGACATTTGAAAGAGTAATATTGGACATTCTCATGCATGAAATCCCCTCGAAAAACTGAAACAAAACCCTTAATGCTATTGCTTAATACCCCCAATTTAGTTTAAGTGGTAAGCAGTTTAATTTTTACTGTGATATTTATTGTATGTATACTGCGATACCAATAACGTTTTAAGAAGATATACGCTTTATCTGTCAAGAATGAATCACATTGTCACAATCATTTCATGAGAAGAGGGCTGCAAGGTGGTTAGCACTGTGCCTCGCAGTTAGAAGGTTGCCGGTTTGCATCCTGGTGAGGACACCTGGGATCTTTCTGTGTGGAGTTTGCATGTTCTCCCCGTGCAGCGTGGGTTCTCTCCAGGTTCTCTGGCTTCCTCCCACACAGTCCAAAATTGGGTTAATTGGTGATTCTAAATTGTCCGTCTCTCGGTGTTGCCTTGTATGTCCCTTGCCTTCACCCTGAGTCAGCTGGGATAGACTCCAGCCCCACCCTAGTGAGGATTAAGTGGTGTATAGATAATGAATGGATGGATTTCATGAGAAGAGGTAAAAAAAAAAAATTTGTTCCAACTTTATGGGCAACAGTGTAATATACCGGCTAAATGTCATATTTTACTTGTGAAAACACTGAACAAAAGCTAAACAACAGTGGAGAAGAAGTTAATGCTGCTGGTCACTGAGCATCCATGTCTCCATCAGATAGCATCCTGAAACTACCACAATAATAATAATATGAAAAACAGCTGCTCCCGGCTGAGCGCCTTTTCAGTTGGAAAAAAAAAACACACACACAAAAAAGCCTCTGTGGTCGACACACAGAATTATTATGTGTGTGAGACCATCGGTTGTGTTGTGTCCATGTTGTGTTGACATACAGCAAACACTCGTATTCAGCTGCTGCAGTCGGCTGTCACAGCGAGAACCGCTCAGCTAAGTAAAGAGAAACAGCGGTCCGTCATTAGCTTCGAGACATGAAGGTCAGTCAGTTTGGGAAATTTCAAGAGCTCTGAAAGTTTCTTCAAGTCACATCATCAAACACTCTGATGAAACCGGTTCTCATGAGCACCGCCCGAGGAAAGGACGAGCAGAGAGGAGAAGTTCATTAGAGTTACCAGAATGTTAGATTAGAGCCCACATCAATGCCTCCCAGAGTTCAAGCAGCAGACACATCTCCACATCATCGGCTAGGAGGAGACTGCGTGAATCAGGCCTCTGTGGTGGAACTGCTGCAAAGACACCACGACTGAGGGAGGCCAAGGAGAGAAAGAGAGCTGTTTGGGCCAAGAAACACAATATGTGGGACCTTATGAGGCTGGCTGAGAGAAGGGAGAGGGTGTAAAGCTGCTATTGCAGCAAACGGAGGCTGCTCTGAGGGATCTAAGATGTCCAGCATATTTCTGCTGTGTTTACACTTTTCTTTTTTGCTTATCACATAAATTCAAAGCTGTCTTCAGAACCTTAAATGTGACTGGTGCTGTATGTGCTGCTGTAATAGTTAAAAGCAAGACAGGATTCAAATGTATGTAGGTGTGTTTCTGCTTGTGCCATTCTAACCTGTATTCCTCTATTATCCTTCCTATTTCTACTTCCACTATTGATTTCCGTCTGGATCTTCAGCAGTGACCCAGTTTATATTTAGCCACAGTTCAGACTGTTTTTTGCTCTTTCAAATAAAAGTCAGATGTAATAATTGATCACTTCACATGCTGGAATGTACATGGCTATTCTGTCGATGCAAGTGTGTTGAGACCCTTACCGATAGACACATACATGGCAAAAGAGAACAATTTCATGCAGAAAACAGCTTTGTTTTGGATCCCCTAGTGCCACAAACACCAAACCCGATGCGAGGCGACTTACACTGGTTGTGTGTGTGAGCCCTCTCTGGTGATAACGCCCTCTTTGTCCATCAGCATTTGTCTGAATGTGCTCACTTTCTGTCGAATTTCTTCCTCTGTGTACCTGAGGAGAAGAAGACACGACAGTTAGTAAAGAAACGCACATTAATCAGGAGTCTGCAGACTGCTGGGCTCGGCTGTGAGCAAACGAGGATGAAATCCTTCTTGGTATTGACCTGAGACTGTGTGAAGGCCTGTGAACCAGGGGTTGACTGATGGCAGGTATGACCGACTATTAGAGCGGATTCATTTAAAAATGCTCCACTCTGGCTTCGATGCCGGCGCCGTTCTCTATCTGTATTCACCACGCTGGAGCAGCATCAGCCCCACAGCGCTGTCTGACACATTTTCAGTAAAATCTTTCAATGAAACATTTGTAGAAACAGAAATAAACAAAAACATTTCAATGAGGTTTTTGTGTTGTTCTAAACTTTGCTACCAAGATTTCAACTGCGAACGTATTTCGATTCCTAATATTGGTTACTGGTTTCCTTGATTATTAATAATCCCTGAAAGCACTCCATCAGTCGAGCTCTACGATGAAGCAAGGAGCAAATCGTAGCAGCAGCAGCAGCCTTTAACAGCAGCACTGAGTGCAGCAGGCCGTCATCCGTCATACCTGCCAGATGCTCGTGTCGGAGCCGTGTCATCACCTGCTATCACACGGAGTTCGAACAAATGGTAAAGACTGTCTTCTGACCGCATCCTGACCCAAAATTACACCCAGCCAAATGATGTACATTCTGATGATTCACCGTCAGCCTGTCCGGCCCCCAGCGGGCCCCCCGCCGCATGTCATGTTCTATTCTGCGAGCGAGCGGCGTAACTCGCTGACTTGAGAGGAACTGTGTGGTGGCGACGGCGGCGTGAGGAGCTCTCAACAAGCTGATACAGACAGAAGACTGCGGACCGCTGCAGAGGCAGAGACAGAAATTACAGTCCATGTCACACTCTGGATGGGTGTTCATGTTTTTTCTAATTTTGCATTTCTGGCCTTTTTTTAATTTCACTTGTGTCGTGGCTGTCAGTGGGTGCAGCAGAGGAGCAGCACAGTGACCAGTTATGCTGCATTTTCATTGTGGTCTTAACAGAGCAAAACATAATGAATGATTCACAAACGGCAAAAATTGTTTATGCATACAGCTTTGGGCTACATCCTCCCAGTTTGTGAATAACACAAGGAGCAGCCACCACGGGCTGCCGCTGTACGAGCAGTGACAGCTCTACAGCGGAGAAAGCAATAATTCAGCAAGCCTGTCCCACCATGTCCTGTTCTATTCTATAGACTCTCACAGGACAGCTGTGCCGGAGACTACACGGCCTCTTAAATGCACCGAACGCCGAGTCCATCTCCTGGTGTAGTTACACAACCTACAAACCATCTCCACGTTCTGCTCAGCGTTGGTAATGAGCTGTAACGAGCTGCACAGACAGAGAAACATGAAGGCTGAGGGAGGAGGGAGCAGGGAAAAGGAGAATTAATAAAGGCGTGAAAGGGTGGCCAGGAGCCAGACATTAGACTTAGACTGACTGGAAGCAACTATCATTAATAATATACTGCAATGTTTGTATCAGATTTAACAACAACAGGAATCTGGGAGTGCGTTCAGATATAAATTCACTAATTACCCCTAATAACTGAAAATGCACAGCTCTCACAGTAAGTACAGAGAAGAAGCATCTCTTGAGGTCTTAACACGCTGATCTGGGGTATATTTGGTAAGTGAGTACATCTGAAATATGAGCTCTACTTCTCGTAGATAATGCAAAAATAGAAATTCAATTTTGTGTCTTGGAGTCTCAGAATGCTGAGAAAATGTTACCCATCTGTACCGTCATGGCCTTTTTATTTTATTTTATTTTTTAAAAAGTATGAACCATGAGCTATATATGAAGATAGAAACCCACCTACAGGGTTTTAAAGCTCAGTGCAGTAGCTTTGGCGTGTTTTGGCATGTTGGCAGGACCCGTCTCCTCCCAGTGAATCCAGTAACGTGCAAAGACGTGAAGCTAAGTAGCACCAAGCAAACATCTCTGGGAGGGATGTTATTGTCACTTGATTGATTAATTGTGGGATTAATATGCCAATTAAAAAACATAAAGCAGAAGACGAAGGACATGCATGTTAGAAAACATATTGTACATTCACTGTACAGTTTAAAACCTCGATGACTACTTGATGAGCCGACTACTCTGACCATCAGCACTCCTGGGAGTTTAGCTTTTATGAGAAAGTCTTCTGCGACGCCTGACCTCTTCAGAAAAGTGTACCAAACTGTCATGTGACGCTATCGATAGAGCAGGCTGTTTATTTCTGCTGTAACGTCAGATCATTTAACGATGAGATTGACTCGCTCGAACCCCTGGAGGCTGTTTGAGGATCTGCTTAATCTTGATGGTACCAATTTGACAAAACGAAGAGACAAAGGAGACACAAGGGCTAAAAAAAAAGAAGACTGCTACAGCAACAGTATGCTCTCTGTTTACACCCCCCTGCGGTTGTCTTAATTTTGTCTGAAGGGGGCCCACAGTGTCACTCGCTGAAAATCCCTGCTCTTGCATTTCTCTTAATTGGAACTAAGGGTCCTGACCCACAGCAGGAACAACAGCCGTAGGCCTCGAGTGCATAATAACACCGTGACTATGCAGTTTATTTTCCTGTTTACTGTTTAAAATAAATGATCTGGAGCATGAGCTCCGTGTGCCATAAGTAAAAGTAAGTGAGAACGGTCCACCACTTGTGGAAACACACTCGCCTTCCTTCTCTTTAACTGCAGCTCATGGCAGGACCAGTTCCATAAGCTGGATTGTAAATTAACCAGTAGCTCATTCCAGCGTGGAAATAGCATTAGTCTGAGGACTGTTTGCTTTCCCCAGATTAAATATAGCAGCCGAGAGCGTGTATTCTGAGCCGGCTGCTATCAGCGCATTGACGGTGCGGAGAATGAGATTAGGAGAAGTGTGATAGAGAGCTGAAATAGCTGGAAGATGGCCCAACAGAGGAGAAGCCAGCCGGTGTGACGGCGCCATCAGGTCCTGCTGTACGGCAATCTCTCAGCCCAGCAGCTGTCAACGCGGCACAATGGAGGCCACAAACACGCACTTTATATTCATGGCTTTCCATTCACAGCGTAGGGGCCATCACCATACGTTAGGTGCTCCCCGACAACTCTGCAGCAACGCCCGTGTTCTCTGCGCCGTCTGCTGCAGATCGAAGAAGAATGTACAATACGGGCTGGGAAACATGAAATGTGCACTGGCCAAACAGACGCCACGGCTGGAGGACTCTCCGCTTCACATTGTGCTGACGATAGTGAAGATGTTAGCGCTGGCGGCAATCTCTGCTGAGAACCCCGGCTGAAGAAAGAGAAGAGGGTCAGAAGATGTGAGGCTAAAGTGTCGGTTGACACATGACCTGCAGGATCTCTGCCTCCTCTCTCTGCTTCTCCTCTTTCTCAGTCCTCCTGTTGAATTGCTCGATTCAAAAGCTCCGTACAGCTTCGCAGCGTGAAGCACAACAAAGTTGGGTTCTGTTTGATCGGTCCAGCTTACTAACCAAAGTCGGAGAGCGTGTGCCCAGCAGTGGTGCTGCTTTAACAAAGAGCCGGAGGTTTTAGAAGCGTGGGCAGGAAGAATCCCCCACAGCACCTGAATGCCTGCGGGAAGATGGTGGATGGTGAGGAAGAAAGAACTTAAAAAAAAACACCTTCTTTCATGAGTGCTAAACTCCTGTGTTGCATTTTAAGAGCGGTTGGGTTAAGATCCACAGTGAACTCAGTAAACGGCTACATACTGGATGTTTGTGAGAAGCTCTTAGACTGAAAAATCACATCTGTCCTCTGTACATTTAATTAGCACTTCTTGCAGCTGTAAAGGTACCTGCTTCCTGCATAACACGCCATCTGCTCTGCCTGAACACAGTACGGAGGAGGAGCTGATTGCAGCGGTCACTCCCAGCAAAACTGTGCAGCACTAAATTCAAATTAAAGCTAAACTGAGCGTATCACTTGTGTATTTTTTACTTGTGTGTGTGTGTGAGTATGTGGTTGGGCTGTTTGGAGCCAAATGCAGGCCATTTAGTCCACCGCCTGTAGCATGCAAAGTCCCAGGGATTTGGGCAGAAAGAGACAGGGGGACATCGATCAGAGTGAGGGCCTCTCCGCCGTGAAAAATCACCACGATTAAAGAACTTGATTGGAGTAATTAGACAGCTCCGAGCACCCACAGATTTCCCCCATTAACTCACGATCCTGGAAAATGAATAGTTGTGGCCCCAAGACCGTCCTTATGCTGATAGTCATCGATTTGATGAGGAGTGCCGATGTGTGGGGCGTGCGTGCTCTCATTTCGGCTGCGAGTGATGTCTCTGTGTTTGATGTCTGAAGAGCTTTTCTCTACAAGTCGTCCCCAGGCGCCGCTGCACACCTTTGAAACTCTGCAGCCATCAATCCTGATGCAAAGAGTACAGAAGCAAATTGATGCCGCTGTAGTTAGTGAGATTGAATGGCACTGGGAACATGGGAAGCCAAACCTGAACACCCACACATTTCTATTTCAGGGGCAGAATTAAAACGACCTACCGAGTGCCACGGTGAGATAGTTTAACTCTCAAGTGGAGAGGATTTTCAATTGATGCTCTCTACAGTCATAGATTTTCTGGTTAGATAACAGATACTAGACCAGACAGAAAGAGTAGCAAAGAAAGAGTACACCTTTTTCCTCACTTTATAAAAATGCCCTCTTCACCCACCACAGGGTAAGCAGATCAATGGCTGGAGCAGAACAATCTGCCATTTCTGATTGCTCATCTTCCCTAAGACCCCCTGTAACAACAGGATTTGAAACTGTTTTGTTTAGCACAGACTTTCTATATTGGCTCGGGAGCCCCGCGGTGACAATATATAAAATGGGTCATTCTCCCTGAGATGCTTTCCCCTCCAATTTTCAGTCTTCTAGGATGCCGGCTTATCGTCTTATGTCTTATGACGCAGGCTCTGGCTTGCAGGAAAACCTCCATCAGAGCGCAGATAGTTATTTGCTCTGGCGTCAAAGGCTTTGAGAGGA